AAGATGCCAAGGAGATGGTGCGGAGGTGTTTGCAATGCCAGAAGCACGGCCCACTCGTTCACCAACCAGCCGAGGCCATGACAGCAATGAGCTCTCCCATCCCATTCGCCCAATGGGGGATCGACCTAGTGGGGCCAATGCCTCAAGGAGCCGGACAGAGGAAATTCTTGATTGTGGCGGTCGATTACTTCACAAAGTGGGTGGAGGCTGAACCCCTAGCAAAGATCACAGAAGAGAAAGTGATACATTTTCTGTATGATAACATATGCTGCAGGTTTGGAGTTCCTAAGGTGTTGGTGTCGGACAATGGGACACAATTCAACGGCAAGCGGATTCGGGCATGGTGCGAGGACATGAAAATTGATCAACATTTCGCTTCAGTCGCACATCCGCAGGCCAACGGGCAGGTCGAAGTGACCAACAGAATTATATTGAATGGTTTGAAAACAAGGTTAGAAAGAGCATCAGGAGCATGGGTGGACGAGCTTACTTCGGTGCTATGGGCATACAGAACAACTCCCCGGTCGACCTTTGGAGAAACACCGTTTAGCATGGTATATGGTATGGAAGCTTTGTTGCCAGTAGAGGTCGAGATTCAGTCCCAGAGATCGAGCGCATATGATCGAGAACAGAATGAACATCTAATGATGGCAGCGCTCGACACAATTGAAGAGCTTCGAGAGAAGGCAGCAATCAGGGTCGAGGCGTACAAACAAAGGATGCGAGTAGCGCATGACAGAAAAGTGAGAACAAGAAGATTCCAAGTAGGTGACTTGGTGTGGAAGAGAGTCGATGTGCTGAAACATGTCGGGAAATTAGAGCCAAACTGGGAAGGACCATACCTGGTCGAGAAGGTCCATGCTGGAGGAGCATACTCTTTAAAGGATGCTGAAGGAAGATCCCTGGCCAGGTCATGGAATGTGGCTAATTTAAAGAAATATTATGCTTGAAATTTTTTCTTTCTTATTTACTACCATGAATGTAATGAAATGCTTGGCTAAGAAGATGAATGAAATGGAGTGTTGGAATTTTTACAATTTACTGTTTCCCGAATAAATTTTATTTGGTCGAAATCCTCAGATTAACCTTGACGACAGGCTGAGTATGGAAAAAATCCATCATGATTAAGGCCATGAGGCTGGATGGTCGTATGTAACGACCACCCCTTGGAGGGTGGGCATGCGTTCAAGAAAGAAATCCATCATGACTAAGGCCATGAGGCTGGATGGTCGTATGTAACGACCACCTCTTTGAAGGTGGGCATGCGTTCAAGAAAAAACATCCATCATGACTAAGGCCATGAGGCTGGATGGTCGTATGTAACGACCACCCCTTGGAGGGTGGGCATGCGTTCAAGAAAGAAATCCATCATGACTAAGGCCATGAGGCTGGATGGTCGTATGTAACGACCACCCCTTGAAGGGTGGGCATGCATTCAAGAAAGAAATCCATCATGACTAAGGCCATGAGGCTGGATGGTCGTATGTAACGACCACCTCTTTGAAGGTGGGCATGCGTTCAAGAAAAAAAATCCATCATGACTAAGGCCATGAGGCTGGATGGTCGTATGTAACGACCACCTCTTTGAAGGTGGGCATACGTTCGAGCAGAAATCCATCATGACTAAGGCCATGAGGCCGGATGGTCGTATGTAACGACCACCCCTTAGATGGTGGGCATGCGTTCAAGAAAAAAAATCCAAAGTACAAAGTTACGCGAGAAAACACAAGTTAAAGGAGCGGAAATAGATTAGCTACATACGACCTCGCTCGGGCATATCAAAGCGGATCATCACAAGCATATGGAAAGATAGAAATAAACCAACCAAAACATCTTCATTTCAAAAATGCCAAGAAAAGTACACACATCACAGAAGTTTGGATACATACAAATGAAAAATGAAAAACATAATACTACACTATGGAGGAGGAAGGACAGCAGCTGAGTCGGCGTTGCTCGAGCTGGCATTTGGATCGAGCTGGGGGCCAGTGCCTGAGGTCGAATCGCAGGCTTCGTTCAGAGGGCGTTGCCGGATGGATTCGGCCATTGCGACCAGCATTGCGGTCGGAGGAGTAGCGTCATCAGGCAGAGCGAATGTTTTCTTCAAGATATCCGACCGACCCAAGGTTCTCTCGAGCTCTCCAGACCACCACTCATGCTCGAGCGGCAAATTGGGATCACCCCGGAAGTTTGAGGGAACCTTTGGTAAGGCATCCCAAATCGCTCCGGGGTCGAGCTGCTCGAAATCATCCTCGGCAATTTGCTCGCCGGCCTTCTGCAGGGCGAACTGGAAACAGTCCACCCCGAAATCTTGGACTTCCTTCAGAAATTGTGGTGACTGCATGAAATCAGCCACCACTTGTGCGCGGTGCTCGCGTAGGAAGAGTTGCCCGGTGGTCGTGGCCCAGAGCATCTGCCTCGCCCGCAGAGCAGTGGCATTGGCATAACGTTGTTTCTCTGCGGCTTGGGCAGCTCTCTCTTTAGCCAATGTAGCCTCCAACTCAGCTCGAGCAGCTTCAGCTTGTGCTCGAGCATTTTCCGCCTGGACTCGAGCAACTTCAGCTTGTGCTCGAGCAGCCTTCTCTTGTTCGAGAGCACCCTCTTTCTCTTTTAGAGCGGCCTCCTTCTCTGCTGCCGCCACCTCCTTAGCTGCGAGAGCAGCATCCCTTTCCACGAGAGCCTTGTTTTTATTGCTGAGCTCCTCATCAAGGGACCGAAGCTTGACGTCGAACTCAGCTTTTTGCTCCGCTTGGGCCTCGCGGAGTTGGGAATTATGCTTCACAAGGGTGGAGTTCTTATCATGCAAGAACTTGATGGTGTTCTCGAGGTTTTTCAAGGATTTCCCAGAGCTGTCGCGAGCTTCTTACACTGTAGGCAAAAATTGGACCAAGCCCTGTCACCAGTGAAGAGGGCACAGTTCAAAGTTAGTACAACGCGCAAAACATAGGAATGAAGATAGCAGGAAGCAAGAGAGACAATACCTGGGCAATCCATTGGACGAACTGATCTCCGAACTCGGGCAGCGTGGCGCCGAGCTTTTTCCGGTCGTCCTCGAGAAGAACACCCTCGAGGCGCTCGGCCACTTCGTTCGGGGACGCCAACAGCAAGGACGTCGATTTCGGAGCGAGGGGGTCGGGAGGAAGATGACTATCACGGCCCCGCTTCCAGACGACTGCACCTTGATCGATGCGGGACCGCTTACCCAGCACGGTGTCAACTTTGTCGCCAGACTCGACCAGCGCCTTGGTCGAGCTGGCGGATTGGGTCTTGAAGGATTGCTGGTCGAGGGGAGGCTTTTCTGAAGCCAGGGTCTTGGATGAGGAATGGACCTCGGAGGACTTGTCCAGGGTTTTGGAAGGAGCAGAATCTTTGAGAGGGGGGGCTCGACGGTCGGTCTTTTGACGATTGTCGACCTTCTGGCGGTCATCAGTCCTTTGTGAGCGATCGCCGACCTGATGTTGACGATCAGTGGTCTTTCGGCGGTCGTCAGATGTATGTTGGTGATCGACGCCTTTCTGACGATCATCGACTTTGGAGGAGGTCGAGGACTTGGTGGCTGAAGAGGAGAAGGATTTGGGTTGAGGGTTTTGGGAAGTTTGGCCCGGTTGCTTCGGCGGTGGAGGAGGCTGTTTCTCAGGTTGTTCCGGTTGTCGAGGTGGCTCCTCGGGTTGGTGTTGCTTGGACGGAGGAGGAGGAGCCACTGGTGATTGACGAGGAGGCGATCGCTGTAGAGGCCCTGATCGAGACCCGGACGAAGTGGTCGATGCCTCTGCTCTACCGCTGGTCGATCCACCAGCGGCACCAGACTTTTTCTTCAAGGGGACCCTCCTCTACGGAATATTAAAGCTTGGAGCCTCTGTACAAATAGGCAAATGACATGGTTAAATTCCTACCTTGACAGAAATAAGAACACACGCATAAGTACTCGAAAAAGTGGAACGAGGTTTACCTGGGTCATTTTCGAGACGGACGAGGTCGAGAACCTCCTCGGTAGGTGGAGATAAGGTTTTGTGGGTAAGAAGACCGCAAAAGTGGAGGAGGTTCTCATCCTTAAGAAGTTTCTCGGACGCAACGGGCTTGGAATTCCAAGTATGGATCCGTTGGTCGAAAAGAGGGTTATTGGGAGGAGCCAGGGCAGCATCGCGAGAAACGGTTCTGATCCAAGGAACGGAAGGCCAGGAAAAGGGAGCATCGGGTTTAACATAGATGAACCGGTCGATCCATCTAGGGAGGTTGGTAGGAACATCATTAATGAAGTGAGCGCCATTACGGCCCTTCCGATAAAGGCCTCGACCTTGCCTGGAAGGACCGAAACAGTAATGAAAGAAGTCTAGGTCGAATCGACCTAGACGAATATGACAAAGAATGATGAAGGTGGTTATGAAGCGGATAGCGTTGGGAGGAAGTTGATGTAAAGGAAGGGAGAACCATTCACAGACGCGGAGTATATCGGGATCCAAGGGAAAGCGCAAGCCGAGTTTGAATTGAATCTCAAAAAAGGTATAACAACCCTCAGGGGGCTAGTCATATTTATCGGATTCAGAAGGGCGGTAGAAGGTCCAGCCAACAGGTCGCCCGATTTTGGAACCGCTCACCCAATCACTGGAAAGAGAAGAGATTTTGGAGGTAGCTTGGGTCGACTTTTTCTTTGGAGGAGAGGCGGGAGTACTCGGTTGGGCAGAAAGAGGAGGGATGGTCGAAGGAGGAGAAACCGATTCATCCCTCTCAGATTCATCTAACTCACCAAGGGCAGGTCGGCAGCGACGGAGGGGAATATTATCCATGGTGTCGCCGGAGTTAGGAGAAGCAGTGCGAGCTGTGAAAACGCGGGTAGAAACCGTCTCGCCGGGGCGAAGGATAGAGAGAGGGACAACTTCAAGTGCAGAGGGTAGTATTTGGACCGAATCGGAGGAAGTGCTCGAGGTGGCTGAATCTGAAATAAAAAAAGAAGAGAGTAATGTCATGAAGAGAAATTTGGGGGAGAAAGGAAGAAAGATAGAAAAGAGGGTCTATGAAATTAGGGTTTTACAAAAGAGGGGCGATTTTGGGAGAATTAAGGAGGGAGAACAGGGATTCCGGAAAAATTTCAAAGGGAGAAGGCAAAACCTACAACGATTGACAGGCAAAAACCGACAGCCAAACACACAAATCCGAAATACTCAGTCAGCACATTTCAAACACCCAATTCCAGAAGTTCAAAAACGCAAAATCCTAGACACAGGAAACATAAAATCAGACAAGGAGCAACTTACTCATGATGGCAGGTGAGAGATGTGGAAAACCTTGAAAATTGCAGGAGAAATCGCCGGAAACAATTAGGGTTCTTGCGAAAGGAATATTTGAGCACAAGAGAATTCGAAATTGCAAAGGTGGAAAAACTGGAAAAATCCGCTAAGTACCAAATTTATACTTAGAGAGTTAAAAGGTTGGGAAAGCAGGACCGTTGGATTAAAGTAAGATCTAACGGTAGGGAGTATTAATTGGCACAGCGCTCAAAGTGGGCGCGTTATGCGAGGAGGCGTTATCATTAAAGTAACTGACAGACGCGACGCGTGGCAAGAAAGCAGGCACGACAAAAGGAACATGCGACAGGTGATCCTATCCCTGGCAATTAATGGGGTATTATTTGAAAAAATAGGCGGGACATTCAACAGATGGTCGACATCGGACGTCACATTACCAAGGAGGTCGATAGACACAAATTCACTCTTAGATCGAGTCATTCAGACTCGACCAGAGTGGGGGGGACTAGATGATATGGGATATTATACCCATTAGGCCGAACCGGTCTGTAGACCGGTCGAGGAGGTCGTATTCTGAAGAAGTCGAGGGAATCGAGCAGTCACTCAATCGACCAAGCAAAGCTGTCGACCAAACTATCCATCGACCAGATAGGCGATCGAGCATCCTGTTCGGCCTCAACAGGTCGATTACTTCGAGGACTTGACACCATGCTGTTCGGCCTAGTCATAGGCGCGTGAGAGAAACCTCTGACAGAATCCCAGGAGAATATTTACCCCATGAGCTGGGGGGACACGTGTCTAGAACGCAGTGGTGGATGGCGATAACCACCTCTGACAGCCTATCCCATGTGCAGGAGGACATGCGTCCAAAGGGGATTGGTGCAGGCGATAGTGGCGACGGCTACCTCTGACACACGCGTTTGGTATGTACGGACGGGCAGTTAGGGCAGACAGCTCATCAAATCCGGGCAGCCCTAGGTCAGGTATCTCACCCCTATATAAAGGGGGTGAGCCTTTCTTCTTCTACACGATCATTCCATTGCTTACTCTTGAGAATTGATTGGATATACACTGACTTAAGCTTCGGAGGCTCTTCACCGGAAAACCCCTCCGGTGTAAGAGTTCTTTGTAGGTGCACGACGTTCAACCGGCGAGAAGGAAGGCGATTATTCAGATTCCAGCCGGTCGGGAGGTTTTTTGTTACCAGTCCTGATGAGCACTGTGTGTACAAGAAAAGTGATGGAAACGTGGTGGTGTTTCTAGTGCTGTACGTGGACGACATTCTTCTCATTGGAAACAGTGTGAAGATGTTATCAGACGTA